ATGGGCTTCTTCCCTGGGGTCCCAGCTACAGCTGGAACAGCTGGATGGCATGGCTGGCTGGCATTCCTGGACTGCATTCCTATATGGCACAGCAGGGCTCCCAATGCCCCGATGGGAGCAGCCAGGGCGTTGTTACGGTGCCCACACGATGCTCCTGGTGGTGTCCAGCCCCGTCTTTGGGATGTGCCCCCATTCCAGAGGTGGAGTATCCCTTCCACAGCACCTTCACCAAAGAGCAGCTGCCCCAAGGCTCTGCCCTGAGCTATTCCCAATTTCCTGACTGTTTTCCAGCTCCATAGGAAGCCGCAGGGACCAATATGGGAAAGTTCAGCTGAGCAATGTTGAAACCTCCACGAGCTCCAGCAAAGCCAAGGTTCTTCCTAAAAGACCCAACAGTGCAAGTGCTCTGAAAATCCCAGGAATGGCAGGTGCAGTGGATGGAACAGGGTCATGGTCGGGCTGCCATGGGGATGCTTTTCCCCCTCACACACCATTAAGTCCCAGGCACAGATAAGACACAATGAAGATCCTGAGCAAAGTGTGAAAGGAGTTGAATTCCCTACAAAAATGTGTATTTTCACGTTTTTGGTTATTAAATGAAGGTGGCTTTTCCCATCCCTGAAAGTGTCCAAGGCCAGGTTGGATGGAGTTTGGAGCAACCTGGGTTAGGGGAAGGTGTCCCTGCCCATGGCAGGAGGTGGAAAAGATGAACTTTAAGGTCCCTCTCAACCCAAATCGTTCCATAATCCTAGAGAAATATAGACAAAATGTCACAATTATGTAATTACTTTTGCTTTCTAAGTAAAAGGTGTCCTCAGAATTACTGAGAAGAAGATGCACTTTCTTTATGGGTTTTCTGCCCTGGAACATTAAAAAGTCATCTCATCTCCTGCAAATACAGGATGAAGAAATATGTTAAAAATTTCCCAATAGTCAGCCACAAAAACACAGACTATTACCAACTAAAAAACAACATTATTCCCCCTGCGTGTTAGAATTTGACACTTCTGGGTACTGGCAACATTTTTCAAAAGAAAATTAAAAAATAGCTGCGTCTGAGCGAAAAAAAAAAAAAGGGGGGGGCACTTTGCTTTTCCTTTTCCATTTGTAAAGGGAAAAACCAAAAAACTCATTTTATATCCTTTTTTTTTTACATGGGAAATGTTAAAAAAAGTCATCTAATCTCCTGAAACTAGCACTAATTAATGAGCAAACACGAGAGCTGGGAAGAGAAATAAAACCGTAGCCCGGACTTTCTGTAGCTCGATTCAAAGTTGTGACACGTTTCAGGCCATAAATGCATTTTCTCGGTTCTGGGGAGTTCGTAATTAGCGACTTGAGAGGAAATTTGTGCAGCCGTGGAACACGGGCTGCCTTTTTTTTTGGTGAAATGCTTCGGCATTAGTGGTTTCCTTGGGGATGGGGATGCGTTAAAACTGCAGCTGGAGCCCCCGGCCCACCATCCGTGTGCAGCCACGCCACAATCTGCCTCTGTGGTCTGCCTGAAATGCCCACTCCCTCCTCCACCAAAGCTTCTCACCCTTCTCTTTTTTTTTTTTTTTTTTTTTTTTTAATTTTTTTTATGGAGATTTCTCAGCCCAGCGATCCTCCAGCGTTTCTGAATGCCAACGTTGTACGTGGGAGATTAACTCTTGGCAGGACAACGCGCTCCCCGACACAAGCAGCCCTCAGTGAAGGGCAGTCTGGGCTCTTCTCGTGGCCACACACCAGAAACCTGCCTGAGACCGACACCCTGAGGGCCATCACCTGGCTTTACATTTAGCCCTGCTGTGCATTCAGTCACCTGTGTGGCCTGGAGTGAGCGCTGAGCTTTGTGGCAGCTGCTTCTCCTGCCCCTCGCCGAGGGGACACTGATGGGGGAACAGTTTGCTCAGCACTGCAAGGTGTTCCAGCCACCCTTTCACCGTGAAATGCTTTGCAAACCAGCACCAGTGTCCTCAAAGGGCCTCTGCAGCTCGTGGGGAAGTTGCAGAAGCCACGTGGTGCCTCCCAGCCCCTGAACCGCCGAGATCAGGCGTGTTTTGCACCGGCTGGGGCTCTGAGCGCGCCCGCGGCATCATCCCCTGGGATATTCCCTGCTGTGGTCTCCCAAAACTGCTGATAAAGAGAGGAATCGCACCCAGGTCGTTGTCTGCCAGGATGGGGAGGAGTGTCCAAGCTGGGCAAAGGCAGGAGAAGGTGTTCCCAGAAATGTCCAGTGAAAGTTTGAGGCAGAAGGAGCCCCGGGAGAACGTCCGCGCCATGGACTGAGTTGACCGACTGTGGTTGAGAAGGCTCAGCTCAAGGAGTTATTATTTTCCTGTCTGGTAATAAATAGAATAATGGACAAAAAGCCTAATTCCTGCAAGGAGTCTGAGTAAGTGACCTGGTGCCATGGTTCACTGCAGGATTTGTGGTTTGGGACCTTCTTCCAAGCTGTGAATCAACTCACCAAACAGATCCTGGGCCACTGGTGTGGCTCTCAGGACTCCTGGGTGTCCCTGGTTTCTCTCTGATACAAAATACCCTTTTCTCTCCCATATATATATATAAAATTATATTATATTATATTAGATATATTATATATCTGTTGCCCAGAGTGGTTGTGGCTGCCCCATCCCTGGAAGTGTTCAAGGTCAGGTTGGATGGGGCTTGGAGCAACCTGGGCTAGTGGAAGGTGTCCCTGCCCATGGCAGGAGATGGAACAGCATGATCTTTAAGGTCCCCTCCAACCCTAAGCATTCCACAGTTCTATTATAATATGAAAACATAATATAATTATAACATTTTTAATCAGAGGTTACAAGGGCTTTAAAATCATCTGCTTCATTGTGGATGAGAAAATTGAATTATTTTAATCCATGTATTATTTTTAATCTATTATTTTAAGGTTTTGACAAGCAGTTAAACCACCATGCTAATCCCTAATCCCTGGATAATCACCACCAATTTGATCTCAGAGAATTAGAGGAGGAAACAGGAATAAAGCAGAGTCTGCATATGATGACAATGGTATTATTATTATCTTTATTATCGTTGTTGTTGTTATTATTATTATTGTTGTTGTTATTATTGTTTATTATTATTTAAAGTGCCCCTCAGGCACATCTCACAAAATCCTCTTCCCCATCTGCTCTGCACAGAAAGTGTCAGGAAAGAGGCAAAAAGTCGATCCCCCAAGGCAGAACAATGTCCAGGGCGATTTTAATAAAATAAAAATAATCCTTCCTTTAAAAAATCCCCTCGTTGGCCACACATTTTAAAGCACAGAAAGTATTGCATAACTCCAACCACCAGGAGAGCCTGGAATACTGTGTCCCTTTATTCTCCCAGCTAATAGTTATAATTAGAACCTTTCCTATACTGTTCCTATATCTACGTGTAATTCTCAAAAAATCCCTCTTGTCTTGCCCAATAAACTGATTCATTGTTACCCAGGCTGGAGTCAAACAATTCAAGTGAGAAGTGCAGACGGTGGGTTGGGAAGGTTTTTTTTTTTTCAAGGCAGAAAAATTCTCCAAAGTGAAATGTTCTCTCTCAGCATCAATTTTTTTGTTGCAGTGTCGCTGTTCACCCTGGGGAAAATTGTCATGTGCGGGGAAAAAAGGCAGAGAAATGGCTCAGTGTGGCCTGATTTGGGGGGAAAAAAAGAATTCTGCCCAATTAGCAGGAAAAAATAGAGATTAGGTCAAATCCAGACAAATGCAGGAGGTTTGAGTTGTTAAACAAGTGAAGGGTGGCAGAGTCTGTCACCATGACAGAAGCAAAGCTCTCGCCTCGCTGAGGTAAGACCAGGTTGGGTCCAGTTCTGCACTGTGCAATAATCTAAGAAAAAAAACACATTTGGCTGTGATTTAGAGACAATTTTTCAAAATCCCTTGCTTTTTTTTTTTCTCCTTTATTTTCCCCTCTCTTTTCCTTCCCCCCATCAAACCCCACCACACTCCTCACTCTGGATTTATGGGTCAGAAACCCTCAAGCTTGTCCTGATGGATTAAGCAGAGACAAGTTGTATCGAGTAAATTAAAAATGAAATAGTTACAGCTGTTGGAATGGACTCAGGGCCAGAGGAGGGGAAAGACTTTCTACCCTCGAGGGGCCTGGAAATAATCTGGGAATCACCAAGTGCATAAATAAAGGCAGTTTGAGTGTCCTGGAGGGTGGAGGGAGAACCCAACGCCTTTGGGATTGTGTCTGTCATTCCTTGAGTGTTCAAAGACAGGTTGGATGGGGCTTGGAGCAACCTGGTCCCGTGGAAGGTGTCCTTGCCCATGGAAGGGGATGGGATGAGATGAACTTTCAGGTCCCTCCCAGCCCAGACCATTCCATGATTCCCTGCTGGGGCTGACTCTGGTGAAGACCCAAATTCCCTGTTGTGCTCAGCCCCATCTCCCTCTCCCTTGGCAAACTGCTTTTTGTCCTTTCCCTCTGCAGCTCCCTGCTGGTTACATTCTGTTTATAAAGCACTGCACAAGTGTTTTACTGCAGTGGAGATTTGCAGGCAACCCCAAGGTAGGAAATCCAGGAGTCCCTGCCAGTTTTCATGGCTGTGACAAACTGGAGTCCCCAGCCCACCAGTGCACCCACGGGGTATCACTGGGAGAGCACACTCTGGGGGGAGGAGCAAGAAATGCTGTGGCTAATAACCAAAAAAACACAGGTTAAAGAGCAAGCCCAACCCAAAACTCGTCAGGGTCACTCTGCCAGGCAAATCTCTCCACCCAGAACAGGCCAAGATTAATTCCTGGCCAAAAATCCCTGCACTAGCACTAACCACCGCTTGATGAAGTGATTTTTCCTGACATCATGATGCAAGTCATTGTCAGAGGAAGGGCTGCAGCAGTGCCTGGGAAGGCTCCAGCCGCTCCAAGAGCCAACCCACCACACACGGTACCTGCCCTCAGCTCCCCGCTGGAAAAACATGCAATTTTCCAAAGGTAAGGGAGGCTTGGGTTACTAGGAACACAAATCATTACGAGTAAAACTGCATTCCCGTTTTATTGTATTTGTTTTATTTATAATTTTATTACTTATTCCACATTTTCCATATTTTCCATGTGTTTCACGTCATTCTCGTCCGTTCGGGCCCTTACGTGGAAAGTTGGGCTCCTCTCCACGGCCCAACGTGTTGAAGGCTTTATAAACAGCCTTGTTTCGTTGTTTGCTTGGCATGTTCCACCCCTGGAGTGTTTGCCTGCTGAGCTCTGAGTGTTCTCTCACCTGGGAACAGGACGAGGCGAGGAGGGAAGAACAGCAACCCTCGGCGTGATAAGTTGTTGAAAATAAAACCCATCAAACTGTTCAGCTGGAGTTTTTTAACAAAGAGCAGTTTGAGACTCCCCCGGTCTGGGTTGTGGTTTTGATCATGTCAGGGGTTTAAGTTGTCAAAGATGGGGATTTTTCCAGGCACTGCAGTCGATGTGTTGCACGTGCGCACCCAGGTTTCCCACTGACCCAAAACCGGGGTTTAGTGAGTGAAGGGAAACTGCTCCCAGTGCTGCCAGGTTCCTTCCCTGCTCCACACTTCTGGAAGGTGATATCCTGCATCTGAATACCCAGTTAATTCACCATTTTCCCCTCTCCTGCATGCACAGACATCTCACACACAAGCAGTTTCCTTCTCGCTCTCATCTGCCCCCAATCTGTGAGCGAATCGGGTTCAGCTTTTGGGGTTTGTGTCAGCAGGAACATTGGGTCAGCTTGCAAACAGCCTGGGAAAATCTGGTGCAGCATCTCTAATGCTCTTGACAGGCCCTGCCCGAGTTCGGCATCACCGGGGTAACAGTTGTCACTCAGCTCCCGAGCACACTGACACCAGCTCGGCTATTTCCCGTCAGTCTTGCACCCTCTGTGACACCCTCCTCGCTTCCCCAGCGTGTTCATTCTCATTCAGTGCAATCCCACCACCATGAACCTGAATAATCTCTCAAAAAGGATGCTCAATTCCTGCAAAAAAAAAAAAAACAAAAACAAAAAAACAAACCAAAAAAACCCCCACACCAACAAAACCAACCCTCAACAAGTTCACTCTCGGTTAAAAAGCGACTTTTTAATCCCAGGAGCTCAGACAATGCCAGTGTTTGCTGGCAGGGCAGGGCCGAGGAGATCGGATTAAAACATCTGGCGGGGTAATTAGAGACCCTAAAAAGTTTACACTCCAAACTGCCCCCTCATAATTGATGGGACTGTTGTGATGTGTCACTTCCAGTTACTGGGCTCTGCAGCCGCTCTCGCCCCGCTGTGCTCTGGGCTCACCTTCAGGCCTGACCTGCCACGGTCCCCCATTAAACCTGCAATTATGGGGTGACTCTTAATAGCGGGGTCTTGCCTGAGAGTGGGGAAAAATGTTTCTGTAGCTCACATGCGACAATTAAAGATAATTTAAAATGTAAGTAATTGCACGGGGTTTCTGGAAACTACTGTAGGGGTCTTGTCCCAGGCAGCTGATGGGGTGGGGGGGGGGTATTTTGACAAGTTTTGTGCAGATTTCCATTAAATGTCAACGAGCAGCTCTATTTTCTTTGGAGTCATTGGTCAGGAAATGGAGATTGTGAAAGGTCAGGCCTGGAAGATTCGGGTAGGGATGGAGGTGTTATTCAAGTTCTGATCCATGGGGATCTAGTTCCAATATAAATCCTTCAGTTGATTGATTCTGGCTTTCTGCAGTCTCTGAGCAGGAGAAAGGTAAGGGCTGATCCACAGGGAGGAGCTTCTGTTGAGTTACATTCACTGCTGCAGAGATGCCAGGCAAGGTGAGACTCACAAAATCTTAGAATAAGCTGAGTTGGAAGGGACCCACAAGGATCACCCAGTCCAACCCCTGGCCCTGCCCAGGACAGCCCAACAATCCCACCCAGAAATTTCACTTTTATTTCCTTTGCCATCACTGGATTTCTAAATGCACATTCAAAAGTTAGAGCTTATGTTTCTGTGTTATAGCTGCATTCAGCTTGTGCTGCTGCACCATAAAATGAAATGTATTTATAAGCAGCTGCAGGATCAGGAGATCTGAAAGATTTACCTTTTGTATAACTTTGTACAGGGCAAAATACATACAGGAAATAAAAGCTGGGGCAGACTTGCCCTCATTGTTGCTTTCAAGTGGCTGCCTTTCTGCCTGCAATGGTTCAGATGCGTTGGTAACACCATGGCAGTTCACCACAAGAACAACATTGTGGGGCTGCATAAAAACCAAAAATGAAATTAAATATTAAAAAAAGGAAAAAAAAAAAAAAAGCTAAACGTGTCCCTGAAGTACATTCAGTGAAATGCAGACTTTAAGTGCTCGACCACAAGAAGAAATACCAAATTTTTAAATCATTTTTCTTCCTTTCCAGAATGAAACAATCCCAAATAAGAATATGCTTGAGACGTTGGTCGTTACATTTATTCCAAAGTGGTGCTTTTAATGAGGGATTCCAAGAGAAAATGCCCTTCAGATGTAAAGTCTGCTGCAGGTTTTATTCCACCGTGACTCCGGCGTCACCTCGGCCGGACGCTCACGGATGAGCCGGAGTGACAGGAACCGCTTTGGGGGGGGTTGCTTTTTTGGAACCCAGAATTGCTTGGTTTGGGTTTGTTTCTTTTTTTTTTTTTTTATGTATGAAAAGCCAGGGGTGTGCCCAGACACAGGAGGACACGTTGTGGTGACCCAGCCAGCGGGCCCAGGGGCTGAGTGGCACCGAGCGGAGCCAGGCGCTGCAGGAAACACTCTGGAGCTTTCCTGGTGCCTCTCCAAGCTGCCAGAGGAGGTTTATATTAACATCACATGGCTGTCTCCAGCTGCATCTGTCAGCACAGCCCACTTGGAGACCTTGCCATGTTGGGCTGCACAAGGAGCAGGAGTGGGGGGGATAAAAAGAGCCACAAAAAAAAAAAACCACCCTCCAAACAGTAAATATCCAGGTTTTATTGTGGTGTCTTCATCAGTGATGCTCTCAAAGCCAGGCTCCTCCATCCTTGTCCATGCAAAACCTCGGTAGAACCCTTGTGGGGCAGCTTTTTAAATGTTTTTTAACACATATAGGGAAATAACACACTGTAGAAAGTTGGCAATGAGTTTGGCTCGAGGAGCCAAGTTGGGCATGGAAAAAAAAAAAAAAAGACAATAAAAGGTCATTTCTAGCCAAGTTTTAAGTGAGTATACAACATATACCTTTTTTTTTTTTCCTGCTCCTTGCCTTAGTTCTTGGCCAACTTGGCTAGGAGCTTATGGAAAACACTGAAGTGGATTTCTTATAATTGGGGGGTTTTTCTCTTTTTTTGACAAAGCAGAAGTTCTTATAAACAGTAATTGAATTGTGGCAAAAGAGTAACACAGACACGCTTCTTAAGGATGCACCATCAGAAAGAAAACCCTCTTTTCTACACCATTCTTTAAATGAGGTGAGTTCATGGGCACCAGTGATCTAATACCGCTGCTATTTATGATTTCTCCAATTCTTTATTATAAAGTCTGTCATAAAGTGGAAAATTCCCAGTGCCAATCACATTTCCAAGCAGGTTAATTTAGCAGCGAGCACTGTAAGTCAATTAGGATAATAAACCTGCTGGGGTGGCGGGGGTGGGGGGGAATCTCTTGGAATGGACATTTTCATCCTGCTCCTGGTGGGAGGGGATCAAGCAGGAGATGTTTGAGCAGCTCCAAAGCCGCTTTGCCCTGGCTGGGTGGCAGCTCCTCTCCGAGGTGGCTCCTCTCTGTTCCAACACGTTCCCGGGGCCTCCTTCCTTGCCCCCAGGTATTCCAGGTGGATGGCTGACTGAGAGCAAGCTCCTTGCTGACGTAGGTTGCCCGTTTAACATCCTGCTCCATTTCACACCGGCCTGCACCTTGGGTTTTGTTTTATTTTTTTGGACCAGATACTGCAGAGAAGGTGCATGAACAGCAGCCTCCCAAACATCCAAATGATCCTGGGATATTTTGGTGCAACAGCACAGATTCTGGGTGCAAGATGACACAAGTTTCAAAAAGCTGACCACCTACCTGAGACAGAGAAAGAGCTGGGCATGACAATAAAAGGGAGGAAAAAAATAACCCAAACAGATTGGAAATGAAAAGTGAAAAGGAGCAGAAACCGCCAGCCTGAGATTAACAATAAGTTTATAAGCTGCAGGTTTGGGCTGTGTTTAAATAAGAGCAACAGTTTCCCCTCTGCATCTTGTCAATTAGAGGCAATTCCTTTTCAAATGGAGCAGATAATACATTTTCCCATATTCTCTTGGAAACATCCTTCCAAGTTTGACTTTTTTTTAAAGTGAAGATGTTGCCAGATGCATTCAACTCTTTGCGATTTTCTTTTGTCACTTCACAAATTAAGAATCTAAAGTTTCAGGAAAAACAAAAAGAATCCATTTCTATTTACACTCCTGGAAGCTGCAGCAATGGAAAAAAAAAAAAAAAAAGGCAAAATTTATTCTGTTTGGAGAGACTGAGGGTCCTCATAGGAAGGACTGACACGACCTGGCACATCAGGCAGCACCCCACAGGTCCCTTCCACACCGCTGGGATGGTGTTTGTCAGCTGGCACGGCGGGCCCTGCTCTGCAGGAGAGGTGGATGGAAAGTAAACACGGTGAGTAACGCCCGAGCCACGCTGGATGAGGCTTGCAGGGACTTGATCTGTGACACACGCAGTGCAGAAGGGGCTGATGCCACCAGGTGCCTCGAGGGGATTGTCTCTGGTGATGCACTGACGATGAGTTCACGTGGAGAAACATCTACAGGTGAGGCCATGGGAACACCAGCTGAGAATCCAGTTGTCACAGGGTTGATAACTTTGTCATCCTCATGTCCTAAAAAACAACCCCACAGAGCTGTTATGGTGCCCTCAGTGTTTCACAGGGCACCACTAAACAGGTTGCCAAGCCTGGCCACAAAACTGCCCTAAAAACCAGGATCTTGGGGCCTCGCTCTAGCTCTTACCTGGTTGTTGTATGTTGTGGTCAGGGTTTAATTGATGTGCACTGAGGGTTTAAGTGAAGTTGCTGAAAACATTGCATGGCTGGAGAAACATTTGACAGTTGGAACTGATGATCTTAAAGGTCTTTTCCAGACTTAACAATTCCATGATTCCATAAGACCAGCTTCACCAGTGGATGGACCTTCTTAAAGAGAGTCCACCCACCCACTCATCCTTTGCACTGATGGGACTCAAAGTCTCACCCAAGAGTGAGACCCTCAAAGCATCAGTGGGACATCCCACGTGGCCAAAGAATCTGGAGGTTTCCAGCTTTTCTGAGTCACTGTCACCACAAAAGCAACATCAGAAGGCTTCAGGGCACTGTCATTCCTGTTTGAAGGTGCTTGTTGACAGTGCAGTGACTGTGCCATTATGAACTCAGGCTGGGCTAGATCTGAATGCAAGATCACCAACTTTAGCACTTGTAACTTGGCCAGCTGAGCTGAAAAAATGAAGATCTGATCAACACCAGGAACTGGCAGGTGCCTGGAAGCTGCTGCACATCTTCGTGCCCAGCCTCGGCCAGCGACAAACGCAGAAGGACGGACCCAGCTTAGCTGAGGACGAAATGTAATTAAACATCTGCATACCAAAGTAATTACAAGGAGGTGGGTGACTAAATCCCATTACTGATGTGGAGCTAAGCCTGTTAGCAGGATACAATGGATTGCAAATAGATACACACAGCTCTGCCAGTGAATTACACAACCTCCCACTCCTCCAGCTCCCCAGAACGTGCACCTTTCCAGGTCTGGCTGGTGCTCACATGGCCTGATGGCATCAGCAGGAAGGTGCTCATTTGTTCCAGACAGTGAAAGTAGCAGAGCCTGGAAGTTTCCCACGCAGGAATGAGGCTGATCCATGTGTCATCCCAAAGTCCTCCTCCACACACGTCACTGCAAGATGTGCCACTAAATTTAGCCCTTAAAAATGAGCTTGCAAGCAGACAGCAGAGCTTTTACTAAAAATTTGGTGTTCACTAGGGGGAATGTTCACTGCTGGGCCACTTTCTCCCAACCTTTCCTCCTCGAGGTGAAGTTTCTACCTTCTTCACCTCAGAGATGAGCTCAGATTCAGTGTGAGGAAAGCAAGATGAAGTGAGCAGGGAGGTTTCCTTTTTCCTTTTCCTTCCCCCACCATCAGTGACTTACAAGCTTCATGTCAAGCATCAGATGCCAACATGACCTTCTGCAACAGCCTGTTTGCCCTGGATGCTGAAGTCCTCTGGGATACATGAAAATGGTCCATGGAGAGCCTGAAGTCTGGATGGAGGAAAGAGGCAAAGGGACAGACAGGCATTGTTACCATAATGAAAATCTGCTGGTAGGAATGGTGGCCTTTTTAGGATCCAGCCATCAAAAGCCAGGACACTTCAGAAGCCATCGAGAACATCCCCAGGGCAGGCAGAGGGGAGGTGACAGCACAGGGCTCCCTCCAAGGGTGTTCCCATTCCCTGCCTTGTGACAGCCCCACACCCCAGGCTATTGACTCACTGGGACAGCTCAGGATGAGCAACCTCAGCACCCTCTCAGCAGAACCCTGTTCCTGCCTCCCAAACAAACAGAGGAGCTTTGGGGAGGCAAAATGAAAAACTGCTGCCTGACTTCACTAAAGGGAGCAAACACAAGGAGGTGATGGTCCACCCTCTCTCACCATCTGATGGGGATAAACCCAATTTATCCCAAACTTATTGACAAATAGTGCTCCAACCAGAGGATAACTCGCTCAGAAAGGCTGGCTGAGACCCCTCTGCAGCTGAAAGCAACCTGAGACCTGGCCAGCCCAAGCAGAGCATCTTGTTGTTGTTTTCTAAAATGATATCCATTAAGATCAGGAGATGGGCAAAGTTCCCCTCTTCACCTCAGGCCAATGTGCTCCTCTGCAGTTCCTAATACTGGAAAGGAGATGGGGGAATGAGAAACCTCAGAAAATAAAACTTATTTGGCACTGCTGATTAAAAGCAGTTTGTGCTTCATCGTGAAAATCTGGGTTTGCTCAAGGTTTGTGCAGTTCTGGTCTCTTCCATCCACATAAGGTTTGTTTTAATGACCATGGAGTTATATGAATCTATTAATTTTTTTTTCCTGAAGGTTTCATAATAACAATGCCTGTTTTTTTCATGCAGCACTTTCCAGCCACGTGTCTGGAAATGCATTGCAAATGGGCAATTAGTGTCAGCCCCGTGCTGGAGATGGAGAAACTCAGGCGGGATCCAGGCAAGATAATTCCTAAAGAGCAATGCCAAAATCAGGCAGTTCAGTTTGATCTTCAAACAACTGGAGCTGGAGCCTGAAAAACCTCTCAAAGACAACTCAGCCAGGACAAACACAAAGCATTTCATTGAGTGGAAGGGGAAGGGCTGGCAGGGGAATGGCCAACACTGGACTTGATCTCTGGGTGAGCCTGGCACGGCTTGTCCTGTGGTCAAGGAGTCCCTGGTCATCTGCCCTCACAGGGATGCCTGGATGGTGCTCCTGAGCCACTGCTGGTGGATGGACCACCCAAAAGGAGCACCCAGGAGCCACGGAGGAGCCTGGAGGTGCTGCCAGGCGCGTGGGCTGGTGATGGGAGCCAGGCGGGAGGAGCTGCCAGCAGGTCAGGGACAAGGGAGCAGGGAAAGAGCTGAGGCAGCCCCAGGGCCAAGGTGGTATTTCATTGCTCTGCTGAGCCCCAGAAACCTGCCCAGAGATCAGCCTGCAGGAGCAACACGTGGATCCAATTCTCTAATGCCAGGCCTCGCTGCGCCGGTATCCACATAAATCCCGGAGCCCGGACACCAACCTTTTCATCAGAGAGCTGGAGTGGGGAGGGAAGAGGGAGAGGAGGGAGGGTGGGCTGCGAGGAGATGGGTCTCGGCAGCAGGCACAGCTCCTCTTTCCTGCCCAATAATCCTCCCTCTATTTCATCCATCAGCTGATAACATGTGGGTCCCATTTCCCCCCACCCTCCCCACATGTGAGCGAGATGGCAGATAAAGCCATCCTGCCATCTGAGCCGTGTTTGCAACTGCTCCTGATTAAAGAAGAAAAAACCCTCTTGATGTGAGGCTTGAAAGGCTCGGGGGGACTCCCCACACCAGCCCAGAGTGCCCTGGTGAGGCTGGATTGGGGCTCTGTGGTGAACATCCCTGAGCTGATCCTCTCCTGCCTTCGAGGTTCCAGGACAGTTTCTCTCCTGGAGTTCACTGGCACAGGGAAATCCCTGCCTTTTTTATTATTCTCCCAATTCACTTTATCCACTGAAATAAATATTAAATATATTAAATAATTTCAGTGGTATTAGGAACTAATTCATGCATTTTGAGATTTTTGGAATGGGAGAGAGTATTTCATCCAAAATATCCTTCTGTGTGAAAAAACAGGAGCTTTGTTGGGCTTTTTGTTTGTTTGTTTAAAAGAACAAAAACTAAAGCCAGAAAATCTGCAATTTGAAAATCAGAAGGGATGGATAAATGAAGCAAAAATTCTCCCTCTTCCTTTCAGGGTGGGAATTAATTGGTGTTATTTGGGGCCTGATCAAGTGAAGTAACAGAGAAAGTATCAACTGAACTGGGGGCATTTCTAGCATCAGGTATTTCTGCCTGACATTTTTGATACAAAAATGCAAAAAGCCCAAAAGGGACCCTTAAGAAGATCTGTATTTCCTTAGAACTTCCACCCTACCTGTGTCAGTGTTGCTGCAGGGAGTGTCACCCTCCAGGCTCACACCAGTGGAAGTGCTGAAATCACATCACTGGAAATCAGCTGGAATTTCGAGGAGTGAGGGCAAAAGCAGGAGAGGCTCTTGGTCGTTGTGAGTCTTTGAAGCTTCTCCTTCCTAAAGAAACAGGGAGAGACAATAATTCAGGGCAGAGCTCAGGACCAGTTTTGTCCCGAAATCCCCTCCCAGCACCAGCAATAACCTTTCCTTTCACACACTCATTTGGGTAGGTGCCTGTGTTCCACCTGGAGGAGCAGCCCTCACCAAACCTTACGTTTTGGGATGATCCTGCACCAAATCTCAGCTAATTCCATTAGGGAGCAGGTCCTTTGAAGCTGCCACAGACCAAAGCTTGGGAGAAGTGAAGGGCAAAGAAAAATTCAGAAGATAAACACAAAGCAGAAAAGATACTGAGAGGGAAAGAGATGGTGAATGGCAAGAAGGGAGTTAATGAGAGCCAGAAACGCTAGTTGGAGAAATGTTGATTTTATTTAGCATTAATTGCAGGAAAGAGCCTATAAAGTGTGGTAAAAAATTATTAAGTACCACTATGCAATGCCAGCTTTGTGCCAGCCATCCCCACCAGACAGGTGTATTATTCCTAGTTCCCAAGGTATAAATAAATAATTGCTTTTCCACATCTTTTTTTTTTTTTTTTATGATGGCATTTCATTATTTTTTACTGCCATATTGTTACAGCTCCAACTCCTCCAGAGCAGGTTTGGAGATCGGTGGGTGAGGGAGCACGTGTGGCTGTGCAGGGATGTGTTTGTGGGCTGGCAGGAGGGAGCCAGGGCTGAGGTGTCTCGGCTGAAGCCAACTGGTGATCCAAGTTATCTTTCCTGAGGGAGGGACTGCCCTGGGATAGGATTTTTTGGGGGGTTATCACCCCACTCCAAGCACTGCTATCATCTCAGCCAGCTCAGGGACACAGAGCTGGGGTTTCTATGACTCCTGTTGGCGTGTCTTGAGATCAGAAAAGCAAAATAAAGCCTGTATTCAGCCCCACTGTTCGTTTTCTCCTCACGATCTGCCCATATGCCCTTCCCAGCACTGTTTCATCTGACACTGCCCGAGTTAAGAACGAGGACAGATCCCGTTTTTTCCTGAGCAATGTTGATATCAGCATTTTTGGGCTTGTTTTTCTCGAGTCTCTCGCTACTCAGGAGGAGGCTCAGCGGGGAGATAAGCACTGGATGCATTTTCCAAGCAAGCCCTTGCTTCAGATGAGGCCACCAAAGACGCCGGGGGAAGCAGCGATCCCCTGGTAATGCCTCGGTCCAAGCTGTGACCTGGAACCGTGGGCTCTGCAAATATGCATAAATCTTCAGCTCCCATCCAAATCACTGCAAGGTTCAGTGAAAACAGCAGAACTGCCAGTGAATCCAAGCTAAGCTTTAATCCAGCTCTGGTGTGATTTATGAGCTCAGGTGGAAACCAGGAAACGCGACGGCTTCGGCCCCAAACCGTGCTTGTTGGCCGCCCCATTCCAGGGGTGGCTGCTTTGGTGCTGAAAAACTGGGACAGCCAGGACACAGATGGAATCAAGCAGCACAAAACCACCCCAACAAGGTCTGCAAACCCTGCTCAGCTATCAAAATATTAACACAGACAGTAGGAAACACAGTTATTTATTCCTACCTCAAAAAGAGGAAAGAGAGGACACTTCAGTCCCACAACCCAAATTTTCTAGGGAAGAATGGGTGTCACATCAGCAGGGAAAGATCCTTCTGTTGTTGGCAAAGCTCCCCCCAGCCAGAAGCAGGGATCATTATCTCTACAGAGCATTAACAAGGCCATTCCCTCCCCTTTCTCTGCCCCTCATTATCCACCCATACATCAGCTTGGAAAAAAATTAACCAGGATAACAATTAGCAGAAGATCCCCGGTGACTGTGACCAAGGAGTACCTAGACCAGCCTAGGTACCTCCTCTGCATGTCCCCAGGAACCTCCAAACAACCATTCTCATTGAGGCTGGGAATTCTGAGTAATTCTGAGCCTCTTTAATGAGTTTAGCTGAGAAATTGGTGGGTGAGGGAGGGGATTTCTGCGCCGTGACTCGACCGTACAGCCACGCGGAGCTGCTCAGCTCCGAGCCTGTTCCCAGCCTGGGCTCACAGCTGCAACATCTGTATCCCATCCCGGTGCCAAGTTCCTCCTTTTTCCAATACTCCCGCTCCGTGTGCACGTAAATCTCCGAAGGGAAACTCTGCCTCACGGGTTTGACCGCGCGGGCGATGCCGGGCACTGCGTTACAGCAACACCTGCGGCTCGGCTGGGCCAGCCCACACCCTCCAGGGCACGGGGGTCCCACCACCCCGGGCTCCCAGACATCCCCTTGAGCCAATAAACCCCAACACAGACAGTTTACAACACCCCCAACAGGGTTTTGGGCCGCTTGGCTGGTGATTTTGGGGGGGCTGAAGAGGGTGATGCTGTGTGTGCCCAGCCTGGCTCAGCACTGCAAAGGGCTTGTGCTGAGTCAGGACAGACAGACCCAGAGAAATGGGGGTGCCAGGGACGGGACAAACTGAATTTCTCCTTCCTGGCCGAACAGCACCAGAATCACGAACTCTCCTTGCTGCTCCCAAGAGTTCCAGTTCCAGTTTTCTCCCATTTCTTTGTGATGAAGGTGCACAACCACTGTCACAACAGCAAAGCTGGAAAACCAAATCATTTCAGTTGGAAAAACCTTTGAGATCAAGTCTAATCATTGTCCCAGCACTGCCAGGGCCACCACTGAACCATATCCCCAAGTGCCATATCTACACATCTCTTAAACCCCTCCAGGGATGTTGATTCCACCACTGCCCTGGGCAGCCTGTTCCAACCCTTGGATCTTGTACCTGGCACTGGGCATCTAAAGCTAATATTGCAGCATTTTGCACAGATTTTGAGTGTTTCACCACAGAAGGATCTAGGTAGATATCACCTAAAGCTGAAGTCAGGCTTTTCCTAACTCTCCCATCCCTGCTGGGCACTGTGCCTGTGGGTAGGCTGGAGATGCTCAGGAAAACATCTCCAGTGCTCGAATGGGTTTAACTCACCACAAAAGTCAGAAATTAATCACTTTAAATATACCACATCAATTTCTGCAGGCAGACAGGGCCGAAGGCAGTCTCCTGATCTTTCATGGCTATTCCTCATCCCTGAAAGGGCACGAGTGACATGGACACAGAAGCCACAAAAAAATCCACTTGAGCCCAGATGTCTCTGTTAAAGCTGAACACGTCTGTCCTAGTCCAATCAAGCTTTTTCTTGAGATGAATATTGTCAAAAAATAATCCAGAGTGTTTGTTCTTCACTCTCCATCAGAGCAAACACAGAGAGATTCACAGCACTCCTCATAGGAAAAAGCAAACCTGCACTGAAAGGGTTTCTGCAGGACCTGCCTTGTAAAAGGAACTAGATTAGTAACAAGGTTTTTTTTTTTTTTAATTTCAAGTGAAAGAAAGAGTGTGACAAGGAACTAGGAGTCTGTCTGCCGTGGAATATTCCTGCAGTACTTGGGGCTGTGGTTTATTTTACTAGTGGTGACTAGTTCAAGCCACATTTAGTCAATAAATATGAGATATGAGGTCACCCCGCCATCGAGCTGTTACCCTGTCTACATATTTCACAGCTGGGCAGTAACCTTTTAACTGGCGTCTACCTCGGTGGGGAGTCTCCATAAAAAAAGAGCCAGGATCCATTGGTCGTGGTGGGGGATCAGGGCCATTCCTGAGCAGCCTGAGTGGGAGAAAGGGAGAGCTCAGGGCTTTGCTTTCCCCTTCCTTTCCCTGGTTTCCAGTGGCACAGCTTCCAGCCGGAGCCAGAGACTCTGAGCTGCCCCACAGATAACAGGCAATGAGGCAGCACATCCCACATCCCAAGGTTTTTACAGTAAGTTTTCCCATCTTTCCTGTAGAATTGGGTCAAAAGACAAATTTCCTCCAGTTTTCAAACATTTTCTAGGGGTTAGTCCCTCCTTTTACAGATAAACTCCTTTAAAAGGTTAATCCTCCTTTTTCCAAGTCTGTATCTTCTCCTCACTGCCTTTGCTTTGCTTTGGGATGAGGGGGACACTTGCCTGGTTTCTGAGCTGGTAACTAAGTCTGGTTAAGATGGAGCATCCCTGAGTCCAACATCAAACCTTGCACCCCAGCAAACTCTCTGTGATGGTCCCAAGTGTAACTGGGAACAGAGGGTGCAGCCCCAGCCCTGCCCGTGCCTCGATTTGAAACCTCCAAGCTTTCAAAGCAAGTAGATCTCAAGGTGTTTTTCCTGCAGCCCTACCTCACAGTCCCTCCAAGGCCTCCAGAGATGGTGGCAGCCATCCACCAGCAAGTGCTGAACATGAGAAGGGACCTGGGCTAAGTCACCTGGCCCGGCTCCAGGAAGGTGTTCAGGTCCCAAACAGCACTGGAGTGAATGAGTGGATCTGGTGAGAAGTGTCAGGGAAGAGAAAGCAAACCCAGGAGCGAGAGGCCAGGGCAGGGAAGCAGCTGTGGACCAGACTGTGCTCTGTTGCTTTCTGTCAGCTCTGCACCAGCTCTGCCCACCGTGCTGGTGTGCCAGCAGCTCAGCTGGCCTCACCCCTCCCTGCCAGCTCCTGTACCTGCAGCCCCCAGTGCCAAGCCAGGGGAGGTGAAGGGGAGATGAAGGGGAGATGTGCCCGCCCTGCAGAGCAAGGTGCTCACACTCCCTTCCAAGCCCTGCACCATGTCCAAGGGGAGAGCCAGGGGAGCAGCAGCAGCCCAGAGCTGCTGGCAGGGCTGTGGCAGTGCCATGGTGAGGGTCTGGCTCCTGCCCTCTGGCACACCGGGAATCCCAGCCTGGCTCTCCCATCCTGATGTCACAGCTCAGCACCGGCAGACGCGGCTCCGGCACTGGGAGACAGGGTTGACTCCTCCCAGCTGGGCTGGAGCCTCCAAAATCAGAACCTCTGCTGTCAGCTGCCTTTTATAGGGCTATAAAACCACGGGCTCATGTACGAGTCTGTCAGACCTTGGCCGGCATCGGCCCCTGCCACCTCCATCCCACCTCCCTGGCTCCCACACATGTGTGGTCCCTGCTCCCTCCATCTCCAGAACCACCACCTGAGGGCCAGGACCCCTCAGACGGACAGGTGGACATGGGAAGATGGAATTGCAGCAATGCCAGCTCAGATGGCCACTCCTGAGCAAAACAGGTACGAGCAAAGCAATGAAATGCCCCTCATTCGGAGCCCCCCCATCCCAACGATGCTCCGTGGCAAAAAACCACCCCTGCACCATCAGCACGGGGCTGCAGCTCAACACTCACCCACCAAAGCCTCCCCAGCACCCACCTCCATCCCCCCCCAGCCCCTCGTGGCAGGATGGGACCAGGGGGTTGTGCCACACACCACTAATAACGGGGACACTTGTAATGCTGGGCCTGGCGACAAGAACAACATGAAACAACCCTGCACCCACCCACTGAGAGCACGGAGTGTGTCACACTCCTCTGTGTCATGAGGGTAAAAATATCCCTACTGACAGCCTTCTTTCCCCCTTCCCCCACCTCCTTTTCTCTTCATATTTATTTATATTTTCGAATGCCCGGCTTGGCCAGGTGGAAAAAGTTTGCATCAGAGGCGGAGCTGAGGACAGTGACGGGTGTCTGCTTGTTCTACGTTACATGGGAGGAAAAGGGAGAAGAAAAAAAAGCAAGTTTGCAGTGACATGTTCTCTGCTGAGAGGTGTGGCCCTGGCACAGCCTGGGCTCAGCCTGAGCACACTCACAGATGCTCAGGGAGGGGGTTCTGTGCTGGTGGGAATGCACAGACAGCGGCAGCTGCAGCTGAGGTTTTATGGGAGCGAAGGGATTAGGAGCTCATTGACGGGCTAAAGAAGAATTTGGTCCTCCTGAGGGCTTCCCCTGCATGTCAGTCACTGTGCCCAAGGCTGTGGGAGAATCTGGCAGCCCTGGGTGGCAGAGTTTGGTCCATGTCTGGATCCAGGGGAAACTGCTCTGGGAGCTGTGGGTCCCACTGGGGACCACCCTCACCAGCAGGTCCCCACCAGAGGCTAAAGCTGCACCACCCTCAACTGCACCACACCAAGGTCCATCCTCTGCACAAACACTTCTCCTACCCTTGCACTGCCTGCAATTCTTTTTTTTTCCCCAAGAAACAGCGGTGTTGAGGTTCTATTTGCATCATCAGAGTTAACATCCAAACTAAGGCATCCCCAAACAGGGCAGCTGGGACAGAGGCTTATTTGCAGAACAGCCAAGAGCAAACAAGTCAAATAATGGGTCAAATCACAGGCATAAGGGGAATTTTGCCACTGGAGAATCAGGGCTGAAGGAACCAGCAGGCTGGGAAACAATGGAAGTGCAGGACAGAGAAACAAAACTTCTTGGTAAAGTAAAGGATTAATCCCTCTACGTTTGCCTCATTTTATCTACCAGAAATCACCTAAAATTTACAATTTAAAAGGCCAATTGCATTTTAACAGGACCCTCTTCACTCTGGAGACAGGATGAGTCGGAGCAGAGCAAGGGAGATGTGCACAGCTAGGGAGGCTTCATCCCTATTCCCTAAGAATTCCTTGCCCTTCTGGGGCAAATTGTTCCTTCCTAAACCAGCACAGCGTGGCTTTCTGTTTCGAGATGTTGGATTTAATTGTCTTTCATAAACCTTCCCAGAATTAGTCACCCATTTTTTCATCTTTCCCTTTTGCACAAGTTTCTGGATTCCCAGAAAATTTGGACTTCCTCCCTTCCTTCATCTCATTCCTCAGCCATTTGGGCTTCACACCATCACACCATCGTTCCCACAAGCATGGATGGCCAAGGTACAAGAATGTCCTTTCCTCTGCTGATGTAGAAAACACACTTGAATTTAATGGCTGAAACAGTCCCAGCTCAAATTATCATATTTTGCTGTGTTGGGTTTTGAGGTTTGCTTGGGTTTCTTTAATCAGACAAAGGCAGAGCCACACAACAACCACCTAAAAGCACTCCAGTGATGCTGGAGCACTCGTGTCACTGCGTGGGATGTGCCAAGCCACAGGAGGTGTGATATGGCCACAGCTCCACTCCCTGTGGAAACCCATCCCTGAGCCCTCCAGAGCTGTGGCTGGAGCCCAGCCCCACCAGAGAACTCCAATTCTCAAAGTCAAACATGACTTTGTCTTGCCCAACGAGGCGTAAAACATCGCGAGCTGGACAGTTTTGTTCCTGCCATCGCTTCAGTCTAATTTAATCCTGCAGAAAAGTGGGTTTGGAGCTATTTCTGATTCTTTTTCCGGGATGGGAAAAGGATAATAACAATGCAATGGGAGGCCCTGAGCTTAAAACCTCTCCCTTCAGTTTTTTCCCTCCTTGCTTTCCTCCACAACATCAGGCTGAGACACCAAATCCAAGTGCTGGCCCAACGCTCTGCTGCTGCAGGGCAGGAAAAAGCCAACGTGGTGCCTCCAATTGCCGTGTTGTGGCTTTTGGGAGGCTCAGCAGCGGAGCTAATTTGGTGCTGTTTCCTGTTTTTCTGTGGAGATAGAAGGAGAGAGGGAGATGCAGCTGATCTGAGCTGCCTGAGCTTGCAGCTCCTGTGCTCCTCAAAGGCTCACAGGAACGTGCCCAGAGCCCCAGCTCAGGCCCAGGGTTAATACCAAGCCCAAGGCAGTTTGTCTGCTGTTAACAGCTGCACTTGGTGATCTCAGAGGTCTTTTCCAACCCTTAATGATCCTGTGATTCTACTCTGAGGCAGTAGATGCCCAAACCACCAGCTGAAAGCCAAGGGATGGGGTTTGATCTGATTGCTTGGCAGCAATTCGGTTTTGCAGCACAAACCACGTGTGATCAGCCAGCCTGGAGCTTCCAGGAGCCTCTTCACTGCTCAGGGGCCATCACTGATGTCCCTCAGCTCAGAAACCACTGACCCTGCAAGGCCTGAGCCTGATCCATGAGCATTAACTTCAGCATTATTCTCCCAGTACAATGATGACACACCTACCTAAACTCCTCAAAGTCTCTGCCAAGCACATACAAACCCAAGTGTGTGTATAAATATTCATGTTAAAAATATATAGAACATACACACATATGCTGGATGCACTGAAAGGAGAGTGATTTCCAGGGCACTGCCATGTTTTAAGGACACAACTTTGACTGCCAGCACCACTCGCTGTGTGGCCCTCGTGCTGAGCCACAGAGCCATGCCCAGCTCCCCAGGCTGGCACCACAAAAATCGTACCAGAGTCAGCAACAGCAATTCTCCAGCCCCCAAGATCCATGAATCAAGGAAAAGCCACTTAAAAACAAGCAGCTTTTGGGGATTTTGCCTAAAGGGGCCTCTCTGGAATACCCACCCCCTCCTCTCACCCAGTGCATCTGTGCAAATAAACCCGAGCCCCTTCCAGCGCAGGGGCTGTGCCTGAGCACGAGCAGGGCAGGCTGGGCACACCCCAGCCCCGCTCTGAACATCTGCCATCCCTCACAGGAACAGCCCAGCCCAGCAAGAGCCGGTTCCTGACAGGGATGGCAATGGATGGATCCTAAAAACGCATTTCATCGTCGGCCCCAGGGAAGGGTTTCACCACGGCCGGTTGGTCCCATCACCAGCACAGCATCCACCCTCTCAGATGATGTGATGCTGCAGCCAGGGACTTCAAAAAGGACAGGATTATGGTCTAATTGGATTTCTGGTCTCAATTAGTGCAGAAGGGAAACCAACTGCGAGGCTGACAGGGAAAGCTCCAACCATCTGGAACAACAAGTGGGTCATTTATAACGTACCCACCCAGGAGCGAGCAAGGAGGATGCAAACCTTCCTCTCGAGGTGAGCAGGACTCACCTGCTCCTAAATGAGCCCAGGGACATCTCAGATCAATAAGGATGGAATATAACCCAGTGTCACCTCGCTTTCCCACACAGCATCACGAGGTGGGGACGGGGACAGTACCTGGGGGAGCAGGTTCAGCAGGAGATCTTTGCCTCCTTCCTCCTCCTGAACACGGGCTGGGCTGTGGGACACAGGCAGGATGGAAGGGGCAGCACCCCTGCAGTCACTGGAGAAACCCCAGGAAACTGCAGCGGGTTTCACCTTGAAATCAAACAGAGATTAGGGCCTAACAAGAAGCTAAAGCAGAGTAATGGCCTGGGCCACATGTTGCAGATCAGATGCCATGTGAGGCTAATTACTGCAGCCCAAAGGTTAGAATGGCTGCTCAAGCATTTCCACATGGGCTCCAGGAGCTGGCCCAGGAAGCACCAAAAAATAAAGGAGTGAGGCAGCACAGAGGCAGCAGCAGCTTTTGGGACCTTGTTGTTGGCCAGTGCTGCTGCTGGGCTGTAAAACCTGGGATGGGGTGAGCCAGGCACCCCTGTGACCCACACAGCTACTGGTGTGGCCCTGCCATCCCACACCTCCCCAGCACCAACCACCAAACCAGATTCTGTGGATCTTGCCAGCTGATACGAACTTTGGCACGTTTACACACCCACGGGGCAACATCCTGCTTTGTGAAGGGGCCATAAACAACAGCAGCCCCAGAGGCTCCACATGATCCCACTCCTACCTTGGCACCACAAAAGAGTCCCAAGGGAGGGAGTAGAAATCCCATTAAACATATGATGCATCTTTTTTCCTCCCCTCCAAAAAAGGCCTGTTTCTGGCTGAGCCCCTCCCCAGCATCCTCAGAGTCCCTGGGCTGTGGCTGAGGGGCCATGAGCACACAGGGGTGCCCGGGCTCTGAGTGGCAGCAGCAGGGGCAGCCCGGCCATGGCACACTGAGCAGCCACCCCTTCTCTGTGCCGCAGGTTCTGACGAGCGGCCGCAGCCACCGGGGAACTCCCGGCACCTCCCACCCTCGGCAGACACAGGTTTTCAGCACCAGCTATTTTTGCTGCCCACAAGTATTTTCATTCAGCTGGGTCAAGCTCCGGGCTGTAAATGCAGGAGCTGGAGGCTGAGTGGGTGCGAGCAGCTCCTGCTCCATCCCGGTCCGAGGGTGACTCTCGCTGCCACTCTCCCCCACACGCTGTGGGATTCTTGCCTGGCCCCTTCCACAGGGGCTTCCAAGCTGGTTTTTCCTTTCTGCTGAGCAATCTGGAATTTGACTTTCCTCTGCTGTGTGTTCCCCTCAGCCATGGACGTGGGGATGAGGGTCCAGCATGTTTGTGCTGCTGCTTGAGAAGGGCTGGAAGGAAGTCTTGGGATTTGGAGTGCACCAGGAATAGGACTGGGAAATGAAGTGGTCACCAGCACTCCCTCCTATATTGAGGCAAAAAAAAAATTAAAGGAAATCTCAACAGAGATGGCACAAATAGCAAACAGAGTGGAAAGAACAAATGCTTAGGGGAAAAAATAGACCAAACCACAAGAGCTGCGAGCAAAGTGGTTACAGAAAATGGATGCAGTTTGAGCGCGTGATTCAGAGCCTCGTCTGAGTGTCAGAGGTTCAACACTATTGCCTCCAATTTAAATCATTTTTAAAAGAAGTGAAAAAGGGAGGTGATGAAAGGGCCCCAACGCTGTTCCCTGGTCGGAAAAACACAGCCCACTTGTGCACTGTGGTGGAGTTTTGCATTTTGGCGAGACAGCGCGTGCGGGGCCGCGCTGGAGCCTGCGCTGGTCACGGTCACGCTGGGCTGGGGAGGGGGAAAACGCTTTTCCCTTTGAGGAGGATGCTGCAGGAACATCATCCAGAGGAAGGGAGCACAGCTGCTCCTGGGGGAGGCCGAGGGGACCATCACACCCACGAGTGCCCGGTCCGACAGCCAGAGCTTTGCTGGTCACCTCATCCTGCTCGCTGGCCAGGGCCTGCCATGGGATGGTTGGGGTTGGAAGGAACCATCAACAACCATCTAATCCAGCCCACTCTGGGCAGGGACACCTTCCACCAGCCCAGGTTGCTCCAAGCCCCATCCAACCTGGCCTTGGACACTTCCAGGGATGGGGCAGCCACAGCTTCTCTGGGCAACCTGTGCCAGTGTCTGCCACCCTCCTCATGAAACATCTCTTTCCATCCAAACCAAATCATAACCACCCTCCTCTCCCCACTGCCACCTTGGAGAGGTGCTCAAGGACATTGGAAATGCTCACAAGTGGACAGGTACAGGCAGGGAGTTCCCACTGCAGCACAGAGAGCTGCAGCTGTGGGGACCAGAGCACACACTGGGTGGGGATGGGGCAGGCACAGGCACCCACACACAGCTCCAGGGGCTGGGAACAACCACTGCACTGCTGGAAAGGGCTTTGCAGCCCTCATTTAAAACAAAAAAAAAGAGAGGAGGGAAGAAACAAATAATTTTCCCTGCATTATTCATGCACCCTGTGTTTCATGCCCCAAGCTGGGCTCGATAACCTCACCTGAGCTCAGATCACCCTGCCCCTGCACTGAATCTTAGACTTTAAGCTCAGCATGAGCTGTTATTATCATCCATCTCCTCTGCAACCCAGGCCAGAGACTTTCACTGCTGGATCAAAACAAAAACTTGTGGCTCAGCCTGCCAAAAACTCCTACATGGATGTTCTCCCTGTATTTTAAAGGCGAGAAATGCACAATAAACACCCTGTCATTACAGCAGCCTCGTGCATTTGGGGTGTCCTTGTGTGTGTTGGGCTTGTGCTGAAAGATAAGTTTAACAATTGTGTGATTTCTTCTTCTTCTTCTTCTTTTTTTTTTTTTTTAACTCCCCTCCTGCTTATGCAGTGAGTTACTAATATCCTGATTGGAACCAGATTTGCATGAATTAGAAGTCGAAATTGGAGCAGCGACTGCTGTGCAGAGGATGTAAAGGGAATAAAATGAATGGGGTATTAACCTTCAACCACTGAATATTAATCAGTGTTTCACAAAAAAGAAAATACAGAGGCTGCCACACTAAATATTTTTAGCATTTATTGACGGGCTTGATTTCCTCTCTCTTTTAGACCTTTTGCTTCCAATCACGGACCATAAAAAATCACAGGGAAGATGGGGAGGGCTAAAGGAGGGGAGGGGGCGAAGAAAAACCCAAAGATCATCCATTTTCTCGAATGCTGGATGATATTTGTGAGTTATGCAACAGAGAAACCCCAGCTAGCAAACACAGCTCCTGATCCCACAGGCGCTCGGTTCAAAGGCTCGGCTCTCCCGGTCCCAAAGCAAACAGAAATCGACCCTGGAGAACAGCAGAGCCCTCGGAAATGAATGCACCAGAAAGAAATAAACTTCCCAAAAGCCAAACTTCCCGTGTGCTGAAAGGTAAAATGCAGCTGAAAATCAGCCCAATAAAAGAATGGGCTCGTTAAGGGCATCTTTGAGTTTCTTTTTGCCCACTGTGCTCCAGCGCAGTTCATAAAGTAACGCCGTGGAAAATGATCTAGGAAAGCTTGGACAAGCGTCCCTGGAAGTGGTGACATCTCCACGGCACTGGAGACACTTTGCTCTGGGAGAAGCAGCCAGAGGAAGGTTGGCATTGCATCCCCAGCTCCTGGGGGGACTCAGCCCCACAGAGCAGGGGTTAAACTGGGATTTTCACTGGGCTTGGCCATGGACACGGCTCTCCCTGGGATGTTTCAGTGATGCTGGGGTGGGTTGAGCTGAGGAAAGGGTGGGCAGGTGGGTGAGATGGGTGTTCAGAGCTCCACGGGAGGTCAGGGCTCATGGGGAGCCCCCCACCCCCAGCACCGAAACCGCAGGGATTGTGCTGGCCCAGCCGTGTCACCCTGCAGTTTTCTCACAAACAATGTCTAAAGTAACAAAAACCCCACCACACAAGTGGAAAACTACAGAACCTCTTCCTCTGCCATTTCTCCCCTGCAAAATTTGGCATTGGGGGGGATTTTCAAGCCAGATGTCCTCTGCAACCTCCTTTGGGCAGAGATAATTCCCTCCTTCCCTCCCAAGCACTGCTGCCCTCCTCCCCAATGCACCTTTGCAAAACAGAATTCATTTGTTTTCATTAACTTCTTATCAAGTTACCTGGATTTGTTTCAATACTCAGAATGTATTAGAGGGGGGGAAAAAAAGAGAAAGAGAGAGAGAGAGAGAAAACAGTGGTAGGTTTTCAGGAAATAGCAAGTTCTTTTTCACTGAGATAGAAATCATTTGGCAAGCCACAGTGAAATACTTCTGGGTTCCAGAAGAAAGCAAGGGGGGAAAAAGCAAGCAGGGAAAGGGAAGATGCTAATGAACTGCAGAGGAGAGAAAAATAAAGCTTGAAAGAAAATGAAAACAAACGAATGAAAATGAAACTCGATGTTGGGTCAGACATCCGCATCCAGCTGATCCGTGGAGTCTGAGTCACCAGATAGGGACCCTCCTTTCCTGGGGAATGGTTAAGGGTAGGTGGCGTTAAAGGCCCAGAAATAACAGCATTTAGACCATTTTTTGCAAAAAAAAAAAAAAGAGCAAGCCCCGTAGGTACCAGGTCAGCAAAAATTTTAGGGCCATGCCTTGGGAAGGCAAGAGCCCGGCAGGTACCTGTGTGGGTGTGAGCAGCGATAAACCTGCCCAGCTCAGGGAATCATGGAATATCCAGGGCTCATCGACATCCAGCTGCTGGCCCTGCACACGTGTCAGTGCTTCCTTTTTCAGTGGCAGTGACCCTGGTGAGCTGGGCCAGGCTCCTGCCCTTGGTGCCCTAAAACCTCCCACCAAACCCCGCCGGGTTTGCTCCAGCCCCTGTCCCTGTGCTGCTGTGCAGAACAGCACAGCGAGGGGCTGGGTCTGACTCCAGGGGGGATCCAGCCCCACCTGGAACAGGGTAAATCCCAAGGTGTTTTCCAGAGAGGGTCAGGCCAGCCCAGTGCCTCCACAGCCACCTCCCTGTGCAGCCCTGCAGGACACACCTCGGCTGATGGGCATTTTCCAGCCCTAAGTAGCAAAGCTGAGTTATTCCACACTCTCAGGCCTTCGGGGCTCTTCAGCTTCTTTCCTGGGGAGGAAAGGGGGATTCTCTGGCTGTTTCTTTCTCTGCATTTTCTTGGACTGGAGGCTGCATTCTAATTACTCTGCATTTACAGGCTGCAGGGTGGAAACCGATCCCTCCTCTAACCTTTATCATCTGTTTCTTATCTTCAGAGCTGCTCAGTCCCCTTAACTCTTAGTGCACAGGGAGACACTGAGAAGCCCTTCAGCTCTGAGCAGAGCCACAGTGGGATGGGGAGGAGGGCGAGGCAGCCCCAACCCACATGTGCACCGTGGTGGGAATGGGAACAAGGAACTTTCCTCCCACTCCAATTCCTGCTTGGACACCGTCCCCAGGAGATGGACAGGGGGATGCTGGATGGGGCTCTGAGTGACCTGGTCTAGTTGAAGATGTCCCTGCTCATTGCAGGAGGGTTGGACTGTATGGACTGTACGACTCTTCCAACCCAAACTGTTCTCTGATTCTGTAACTCCACACTGGCTGCTGTGTCCAGCACCTCAGCCTCAAGGGGAATTGCTTCCCACTGCCAGAGGGCAGGGTTAGATGGGATGTTAGGAAGAAATTCTCCCCTGTGAGGGTGGGGAGGCCCTGGCACAGGTTGCCCAGAGAAGCTGTGGCTGCCCCATCCCTGGAAGTGTCCAAGGCCAGGTTGGACCAACCTGAGATAGTGGAAGGTGTCCCTGCATGGCAGGAGCATGGAACTGAGTGATCTTTAGGGTCCCTTCCAACCCAACCCAACCTCTCTAATTCTGATTTATCCTCTCCCAGCACCTCAGTACCAAGCAGGCAGTGGTGAGACAGTGCCATGTTCCTCAGAGGCCCCAGGAATGTTTCTGGATGGTGGGGTGGTGAACACACAGTGGTTGTTGACACCATCTATCAGACAGGCTCTGAATTAAACTCTGCCCTGCCCAGACCTTTGCACCAGAAGCTGCAGCAGCACACAAAGAACAAGCACAAAGCCTGTGGAGGGGCATGGCCAACTCACCCTGAGCTGCTGACACTGGTCCGGCCACAGCCAGCGGTGGCACTTCCAGGGCAGTTTGGCAACTGGTGAGTGTTTCTGCAGAGCTAGAATTCTAATCACACGTTCAGATCTTCAGTAAGCCTGGCAGACGTGCCTGGAAGCCCATCTCCTTGCAGCAAGTGTCCCAGGCAGGCTGTTGGTGAGAGCAGCCCCTCGGAGCCCCAGGGTAATTGCAGGTTCCTCTAAAAACGCTTTTTCCCCTTGCACATTTTAAATCTGTCAGGGCTGATTTCCATCACGGGCTCCTAATGCAAAACCTCCTGGGGACTCTCTGGGCCAGGAGCAGGGCTCATCCCGAGCTGCTCCTCCTGCAGGGGGTGGGGAGGGAC